ACTAGGAGCCATTTCAAAGCGGTAGAATATAAGCAGCTGAATATACTAGTGCTAGTGTGATTATACGTAGGGTATTTGCATCAACTTCCCATGATGACATCCCCATAACCATCATGATGATGTACCACTCAATTTGGCAATTATACTATGACGGGTCTTTATTTTCGCAGATAGTTTGGCTAGATGGTTCTTGAACTTAAGCGTCCTGTCTATCACCACACCCACGTACTTAGGATAGGGGTTGTTTTTCACTAACTGCTCTAAAAACTGCACCCGTATCTCCTGATTTGCTCTTCTGTTATTCAGATGGAAGAGGGTGACTTCCGTTTTTGATGAAATCCATTCAAACCAAATCGGTTTGAGTCTCCATTGATTGTAGAATTTATGTAATATGTCAATGTCTTCAGACAGGATGTTTTCTAGGCCTTAGAAATCTTTACTCTGGCAAGCTAGGGCTAGGTCATCTGCATATATAAATTTGAGTCTTGGGCTCACTATATTTTATGAACTCCAGGTATATTTCATCAAGTTTAGCTGCTTTCCTAAGTTGTACACCTTTTAATGCTAGTTGTTCTTCTTTGGGAGTAAATTTTTCTGTCCATTTTGAATTTTTCACTGCATGGGTTTTCTTTACTTTAAGGCCCATAATCAATTTCCTTGATGTATCTTTATCAATGACGGATCTTGACGTTTCTATCAGTCGATTCGTAAATTAAGTCTTATTTCAGGTTCACTGCCACCTCGATTCTGCCTGGGATCTAGTCTGCGCAGTACAATCAGGCTTCCCGACTAAAGTGTTTGAAAACTAGACGTTCTACGGTTTCAGTCCAACTGTCCTTGCGTCCTTGAGCTAGCGATCCTAATAGTTAGTCCGCAGTTTCTGCTTGGTCATTCCTTTGATATTCTGCATACAGTTTTTCGTTTTCCTCATTCCAGCAGGGTTATATTTGTGTCTGTAGCCTCAAATATAGCATTTTGCAGTTCCCTTAACCATAAAAATTAAGCGTTCATAGTTGTTCGCTATTGGATCGATCCATCTGATATTATCGTCTGGAAATTTTGAGAAGGCAGTCCAATTAGCTTTTCCAAAGTTCCACCTCGGTTTAAGTATTATTTTAACTAGTGAAATCTGGATACCGATTTGTATGCGTATTTGTCAATGTTGGCTATTTGGGAAATTGTTTAGGACAGATCGGTGGGCTTGAAGTGATACACAATTATGATCTTTAGAGACAATACAGAGGTACGGGTTATACCCTCGATTCCATCTTCCTGAGTGGAAAGTATGTCTATCTTTACCACTGAATATCAGCTGCATGTTTTCAGTTTCAATCCATTCGCTTAAAACCTCCCTTTTTTCATTGTTTTCATCATAACCCCATCTGGTGTGGTGACTATTGAAATCACCAGCGAGTACTATAGGGTGTTGGGAAAGTGGAAGAGTTGGCAGGTGCCAAATTTAATTTCTGGGCTTATATAGATGTTAAGTATAGTTATATTAGCCACGTTGATAGCTATCACGGAGATAGACCCAGCCATTCTTGTTTATAGGTGACTCGAGTTTGAGATATAATTTCATATATAGGTAGCGGTTCCATATTGTATGTGAAAAGTGGCAAAAATGAGTTTATAACTATCTATTTTCCCTCTGCAATGTATTTGTCTTACATCTGAGACATGAGTCTCCTGTAGTAAGACTACATCAGCTTTAAGTTCTGGTAATAATCGAGCTAAATAGCTACTCTTGTCTCTGCTTAAGCCTTCGACAATCAGTTGGAAGATAATTAGCTGAGAGCCAAAATCTAAGGGTGAACAATATAATTATCATACAATAAATATACATTTTATTTAAATTAATACATATATATGTATGATATTATGGCTCATACCTATCATAGTACCATAATTATATTATAATATTATTAAAATGTTTACATAAAAATTGGTACATGATTCCAAAACATTGGTTTATTTTACTAATCTATACAATATAACATAAAATATATTACGTTGCAGTGGTGGAAAATGGGGGTGCAAAGGGCGAATTTGTCCCCCCTTATCGCCGTAGTTTCCCTATGTCTTACACTGTGTTTAGCAAATTTTGGTACTTCTTGTACTTTTGCCCATGTTATACATAACCTTAATAAAGTTCTATTCGAGGTTCCTCATATAATATAGAGGCGAAAAACTCAACTAAAATGTCCTCTCTAAGCGACTGGATTGATTAATATTGTTAAATAGGGAAGTGTCCCGACCTTATCTTCTAATTCTAAGCATGGATATTATAATATAGACATAGACATAGACATAGACATAATATAAATCTATGGTCTAAAGTCAGTGTTTGGAAGGAACGAGTTCCAAAAGGAACGGATTCCTGGAACGAATTCCTTTTTAAGGAACGGCACGTTGAACGAATTCCTTTTTATAAAAAAAGAACGAGGAAATGAACGAGTTCTTTTTTTCAAGGAAAAAGAACGAAATTTTTGGTTCTTTTCAAGTTCCAATTTACACAGATATATAAATAATTGAAATTCAAATATTTTTTTTCTTAGTTTGTATATTTCCAATATTATGATTGTTATCGACTATCGAGTATCCGAGTATCAAACTTAATAGTTAAAGTTAGTCATTAATCATTAGGTAGGTACTCTGGTACAGGGTACTCATTACTTATTAGTCATTAGTAACTTTATTAATATTTCTCATAAGTCATAACTCATAAGTTATAACTTAATATATAGAAATGGGTATATACTATTATATTATTACATTATTACTATATAAAATATAAATCCTTGTTGTTGCGTCGACGGAAAATAAAATAGCATGAATACTGAAGACTGAACAATAAAATAATTTATGAATTATTATGCGGGTCGGGACTATTTTAATACCTAGTACCTACAGCTAAAATGTATAATAATATATTACTATATTAATAAGACGTTACAATATTATTTTAATGATAATTATTTATAACAACAATAAAATATGATAAGACAGTTGGCATACGTTGGTCATCAATTTAATTTTAAAGAAAATCTCAAAATAGATTACTAAAAGCTGCAGTCAGTATTATTTTCTTAAACTTAATAGTAAATTATAAATTTACTTGTATAGGTATAATTAAAAATTAAAGTACCTAAGTATATCTGTTAAGAAAAAAAAATGATGATTAAATAAGAATTTTTATTTTATCTGGAACTATAAAAGGAACTAGTTCTTTTTCCAAAGGAACGACAAAGGAAAGAATTCTTTTTTTTTAATAAGGAACAAGGAACGGAACGAATTCCTTTTTTTTAAAAAGGAACAAGGAACGGAACGAATTCCTTTTTATAAGGAACTTGACAAACACTGTCTAAAGTATATCTTTAACCGTTCCTTCGAACGAATGGCGTCGTACTCTGGTGATAAATTTTGAACTACCAAACTGCCGTGATTTTTTTTGCGTCAATATCACGATTTAAGATCGTGGTCAATATCTTTATGCTATCTATACTGATATAGTGATATTAGTAAAGGTCACGGCCTAAGCAGAATATTTTTCTAAGTATTTTGATTCATAAAAATCGAATTTAGGGCGAGTACTTTATGAGTTATAAGTATTTAAAGTTTTGATGGGTGGAGTGGAGTGGGGTTACCCTGCAAAATGTTTTTCCGCTACTCCGCTTGTTTAAACCTTAAATACTTATACCTAAGTACCTAACCCATAAACTACTGGTCTTAAATTTGATTTTTATGTAATTATGTATCAAAATACTTAGAAAAATATTCTGCTTTGGAAAATGAAATTAAAACTCTAAGTTGTCATTCAAAAAAGTAAAATACTTAAAAAAATATAAGGATAAAAAATATTTAAAAATATGATTTTTATAATAAAAACGTTGTTTTTTTAATAACTTGAAAGTTGAAACCATGGTTTACATGCATGTAAAAAAATATTTTGAAAAACATTAATACTTTTTGAGATACCTAATGAGTGTTTTACGCTTAATGAATCGCCGGGAGCGTTTAACAACCCGGTGGTGATGACTGTCTGTAGTTAAATTTTCAATCAAGTTTTCAAATAAGCACGGACTAAGATCTTAGTCCGTGCAATACACCTTGATGTAAACCACACTACCACAGAATTATTATTATAATGGTTACCACCATAGATATATATTATTAAATAATATATAATAATATAATAATATATAATATAATATAATATAATATAATATATTTAATAATATATATCTATGGTTACCACTTACCGTAAGGGTTATGTCACAATCGATTTCACATGGCAATGGAAATTACTTTCAGAATCAGCTGTTGAACCAACTTAGTGCGCTCTCTATTATATCTTTAATCGTGATGTAGACATAAAAACGCAGCTGATTATATAAAACTGTAATATTATCATAGAACAATATGGCATATTTATTATTTTTATTGCACAGATTTCTGTACAGTAGCAGATAGCGAACTTCCGCCATGAATTGAAGCTCCGAGGTCGGTTGGCAATTGTATGGTATTTCATATGACAAATAAAATGATATTTTATTCTGTATCGTATTTTATTATTTCTAAACATGTTGTTTAAAACAAATGAAAATATTTTATTAAGTCATTTTACATATTTTACTATTTTATTTGACCATTAAAAAAAATATTATTCCTAATACATTTTGTATAATAAATGAAATGTTTTGCCAACCGACAAAAGGCGGCCGTCCACAGCTGAGCTTCACTTGTAAATGCTTGTAACAATGTAAATTGTATAGGAGTTCCTTATCTAGTGTAGTATAGAGGTCTGTGTTTTATTGGCGATTGAAAGCTTATTAATGTCACGGGGACGATGTGATCATTTGTAGATTATGATTTAAGATTTGTACACGGTCTGAGAATGATTGTACGTTATTTTACCAGTTCCACCCCCCGCCGACAAAATATTGATAAGCTTTCCCCAATTTATCACATTTTTTTAATATTATTTTAATCAACACTCATCAATGATTGCTCTCAGTCGAAAGTTACTGCATTTTGTATCTGTAGTACAAATAAGCAATATAGCTAAGTGTAGTTATCGAACAAGTAATTATAGTCTTATAAGATTTTCAGGTCCTACATTCAAAATGTCGGAGGTTGAAAAATCTGCTATCTCTACACCTGGCGGTGATACAATTTTTGGTAAAATTGTTAGGAAGGAAATACCTTGTAATTTCATATACGAAGACGATCTTGTAAGTGTAACTAATGATTAATGAAGTACTAATGAATGTGATAAAAATAAGATTTACTATATATCTATATGGCCGAATGTATGGGTATTTACTACCTACTCTTGCATTTTATACACGTCTACATGGGTAGATAGGCCAATGAAGACAACCTGTTAGTAGCTCAAAGGCAATGTTTTTTTTTTTTTAATTATTGACCATCATTTATTATTTTGTAAATGAAAATGTCTTTTTTAAATATTGTTTTTCACAACATAATACTTTTCTGTTTTAGTAAGTAATTTTTGTGTGAAGGAATAAGTATTGCAATTAACTGTAATGTGACATTTGACATTTGTGGAATTTTTATGTTTGGACTTAAACATTTTCCCTATATCAAAAAAAGGGCATATTCACCCAACACATCAATTAGAAATTCTCTAGAATTACTTATCTATTTTTAAATTCAAGTATTAACTATCAATTACTGAAGTATTGATACAATAAATTTCCTAATATAATAATATTAAAAATGTCAAAATATTCATATTTTCCTAATTGTATATTACACCATTCATTTTTATTATTATAATCTGTTAAAATACATATGCCAACTGTTAATAAAATGCATTACTCAATTAAATAAAACCGAAAACATTTAAGAGATCTTCCAAAGGAGGGGCTTAGTCACTGGTACTCAAAGTTATTTTGTTTATAGTTGTAGTAATTGCATTATTTATAACATTTTGATTGGCATACAGGCTGTGTGCATCACAAAAATTTGCTGTTTCCACATAAGCCAATGTATCTTTATAATTATTTGTTTATTGTATAAACTACTAACATATTAATTTAATTTAATTATGTCAATGGCTACAGTAGATTATTTCAAATTCCAATGGGAATGCACATTTTTAACTTTTTATTTTTACATTCATGATTGTTTATTCTAATATTTTTTTTTTATCTTTTGTGTAGGATAAATAAATTTACTAAATAATAATGTATGTGTTCATCTGAAAAATATTGTGAACAAAGCAATAGTTACTGATTGGGTTGGGTTCCACCTTCCACCAGTAGTGTATTGATAAATATATTTATGGGTATACTAATAAAATATGTATAGGTATTGAACACATTTTTTTTCGATCCGCTCAAAAAAATTAAGTTAATCCTTTAAAATATCACTATAAAATAATATTATTGTCAATAATGTCCCATATTCATACAACTATTGGATTTGAGTATAGTACAACTGTACATGGGTACTAAGTACTATGTATAATTGATATTTGAAATATATATTCAAATATAATAATATAAAATATAAATAAAACCTCAACCCTGTTTGCATTAATTATATGTTTTGTAGTTACATAAGGAATCAACATTGTTTTAGTATAATATGCAAAATAAATTATAAACACCAATGGGTTAGGTGAATGCTATAGCTGTCATGTTCATCAATGTATTAAGTTTTTAAATTTTTTAAGTTCTAATTCTTGATCAAAAACATAATTATATCTTATTAAAGCTTTTCAGTCTTCAGGTTACTTTTTAAAATTTTTTTTCTTTAATAAAATATAAATTTGGTTGATTATCCGAAAATTAAATCAAATATCTTAAAATGTGTCCTGAAACACTGATTGATCGCAAGTAGGCATAATATTAATGAATTCAAAACAGTTTTCTGAAGCTATACCGTGTTATCAGGTCCATCAGTAGAATTTACAAAAAGTACATTAAAATGAGCAAACATTTTTTTTTTTTTTAAACAATTAAGAATTATTGGCAATGATGTATACTGTCAGTCCAAGGGTTTTTCATGTATATTATAATTTTTCTATTTTTATTAGTGTGTTGCATTTCATGACATCAATTCTCAAGCACCTGTTCATTTTTTGGTAATACCGAAGAAACCAATTGAGATGTTATCTGCCGCTGACAGCTCTGATGAAACGGTATTTTACTTTGCAATTAAAACACATATTATTATGATTCATCTCCTAAAATTATTATATACATCTAATTGTATAAGTAAAAATAAATAACAATATCTGCTTCCAGAAATATATTTTAAAATGCTAAACATTATTTTTGATTTCAGTTACTTGGACACTTAATGTTGGTTGCAAGCAAAGTAGCAAAAGAACAAGGATTGAATGACGGTTTTCGTTTGGTAGTTAATAATGGAAAGGATGGGGCTCAATCTGTTTATCATTTACATTTGCATGTCCTTGGTGGCCGCCAACTTGGATGGCCTCCTGGCTAATTATTGTTAACACTCAATATGTATATGCAAATTATTTAATTAGACAAAACGTCATATTAGAAATAAACTGGGACATTTATAATTATGTTGTTGCATTTTTTTAAAAATACAATATAAGATAAATATTTACATCTATGTCAACAGATTAAACAATATTTTTATTATATAAACTATGAAATATAGTTTTCACTGTCCTTCGTATATTTAGTTATTTTATGATTTATAAATATCACTATAACCCAGTAAATAAAATAACTAAAAACTGATGTGAACTAGAAATTAATTGAGTAGATTTTAATTAACAGACTAAAGCATTAAAACAACAACATTAATAGTTATTAATTAGTGGAACTTTGTTTATAATAATATTAGCAAACAAATTATGTATAAATGATATATATTAGGTAAATTTTATAGTGAAATATTTTATGTTGTAGCAAACAAATATAACAGAGACTTTACAAACTGTACAATTTCCGATCCTCCTAATTTAGACTCTCCATAAACTCTGTCGACAAAGGTTATTGGGACTTCGCCAATAGTATAATTTAGTTGCCTTGCACGGACCATCATCTCCATTTGGAAAACATATCCTTTTGATATACACGATTCTATCAATTTTTCCAGAACTGGCTTTTTATACAATCTGTAAACAAAATACAAATTTGCTATCTACTACCTCATTTTTTTAAGTATTTAATACAAATATTTCTTTATGTAAAAAAAAAATTACCTAAAACTTCCAGTAAGATCAGATACTTTAGGTCTCAACAATAATTGGCTAACAAAATTAGCACCACGACTAACTAACTTTCTTTTAAAATCCCAACCTGAAACTCCTCCATTACCAATATATCGTGATCCAGTAACAACATCATAATCTTGTTCGGCTTGTTTTTTTATGAAATCCAGTATAAATTTTGGCTGAAAAAAAATGTTATAATTAAATACAAATAAGTAATAACCCTATGAATTTTAACTTACATGATGTGACAGATCAGCATCCATTATAATGATAAAATCCCCAGTGGCATGTTTCATTCCATGAATATATGCAGTGCCCAATCCAAGTTTTTTCCCTCTAGGTCTTAATAACTTAACAATATATTTTATGATTAATTAAGGATCAAAAATAAATCTATTTGTGTCTTACAATTTTGTCTTTTCCATAAATGGTTTCGAGTTGTTTGGCTACTTCTAACGTTCCATCTGGACTGCCATCGTCTATTATAATTATTTCATATTCTATCTCACTATAACCAAAGATAGCATAAGTTATTAATCATAATTCATAATTGTATTGGGTACATTTTAATAAAAATAATTTTCTTGGTTATTATAGTATTTTAGAATTTAGATTAAAATGTAAAACACTGTTAGTTTGTTAGATTCTGAACTGAGCGATGAATGTATTGATATTACAATTTTTTTTTTTTTTTAAGTATAAGATGACCTTTTAGAGCAGTAAAAATGCTTCTATCTTTAACTGCATTTATTTCTCTATAGAAAAATAAATCTAGTTAGAGGGATCATAAGTACAAAATTCCAAGTACTTTTTTTAATAATTAGGAAGACGAGGAAAAATAGGGAAGTCTAAGAATTTGTACACTAAACAAATTTTTGAAAAAATTAATATAATATAATATATAATTTATAATTATATAATTAATATAATCATATTTAATATTTAGCTCATAAAAGATTTATAATAATACTTTATTTTACATAATGTACATTAAATAAATAAAATGTATTACCTAATTTCCAAGTATTTGTGGATTAGATAAACTATAACAGGTAAATTTTCTTTTTCATTATACGTCGGCAGTAAAATTGAATACTTTGGTGACATCTTGAATATTATAATATAATATATATTATTAAACTATAGTAGAAACATAACAATTTTAAATCCATATAATGTCATACTCAATAATATAATATATTATTCTCATTGATGACTTCACTAGTTCACACTTCACTGAAGCAGCGTTGCCAATGTTTGTTATCTAGTCAGCGGGGAAAATATGACAAAATTACCGTACTTTGAACAATATTACCGTACTTATTGATTTTTTAGGTTATCAGCATGGTTATCAGTTATAATTTCTTATCCGAATTCTTATCAAATTCTTATCAAATTCTTATCAAATATTTATAAAACCATTAAAACCTATTAAAAATTAATAACAAATAACAATTAACAATCTTCAGGTAAAAACTTATAATGGGTTCAGGGTTATGGACAGTGCCGGCGCTAGGAGAGGACAAATGGGACATTTGTCCAGGGCCCCGCGCTTGTTAAAGGGCCCCGTGATTTTTAATTATCATCTTAATACGAATACCGTGGTTTACCGTCGGATATTGCATTATTCTGCCTGCAGCGGTCGCGTACTTAGATATTAAACAATTTATTATTTTATTCAAACATTTTGATGAATTAATTTATTTTTAATTGATGATTTTATGTAGTTGTTAAAATAAATGTAAATTAATAAAATAACCAGCCCTTATGAATTACAGACAACATGATAAAAAATTCAAAAACAAAAATTACATGATATTTAAAATCAAAAATTATAGTTAATTATTATGATAGTTTCACCCAAGGTTTGGGGTTATTAGATAAACTCTGTTTTCTTTTATGGGGAATTCTATGGAATTCTATGGGAATTCTAACTAGGGAGAAACTGAGCACCATCTTAGTCCAGCTCACATAATATCACGATCAAAAGTCTGGGTCAGGTTCGAAGTTCAATATTATATAATATATAGAATTGATACAAAAATAAAATCAAATACAAAATATTTATAACAAATATGATGAAAAGCTAATTTTTTTTTTTTGAATTTACCGTACTATTTGACCCATTTTTGGTTGACCGTACTCCGACCGTACGGAGTATGAAATTACCGTAATCCCCCGACAAATACCGTACTATCGGCAACACTGCACTGAAGTCTGAAATGTTTTAATCACGGACGTGTATAAACGTCACTTTATAATCAAGGTGTATTGATATCAATATCAATCACCACGGACTAAGATATACAGGACTGGACACGAGATGAATATTGTGGTTACGAAATGTTTTACAACAGGCGGAGTTCGGGGGATATTTTCCTTTTAGCATTACTAGCGCCGTCCTAGTGGATACTTATGGAACTAGAACACATCTTACAAATTTCTAGTTCCATAAGTATCCACTAAGACGGCGCTAGTAATGCTAAAAGGAAAATATCCCCCCGAACACTGCCTGTTGTAAAACATTTCGTAGTCAACCCCCCCACACCCTCCAACCTTGTCGTGTCCAGTCCTGTATATCTTAGTCCGTGTCAATCACTATATTATCACGGACTGATATACTCAAGGTGGATATTATATATTATTACTCTGAGAGGTGGATATACTTTGTTCTGGGGATACAATTGACTGGAAACCACGATTTAAGATATACAGGTTGAACATCGGCCTATGATATTTTGCATTTTTAAAGACCGTCAAACTGAGTCTCCAAATCAGCTGTGGAACTACCGACTGGCGCCATCTAGCTGCATTTATCTGGAAACTCAACAATCAAAAACGTACTATGGCAACGGCACAGATATATAAAAATACTAGTATTTTTATATTATCTATATATTATCTATGGGGCAACGGTATATCTTAAACACAGACTTCTATACTATAGTCCGCGACATGAAAAATGGCCGATGACCGTCGCGAACCTAGCGGACGTTTCGCCTTGGTGGTTCATAAAGTAATTAAATTAATTGCCGCGTTTTTTTGAATTAACCATTTCAACGCGTAATCAACGCGGTAACTCATAAACTCCAAAACTCAAACAAATGATTTTATATTTCAATTTTAAAAGTGTTAACAAAGACGTTACAAACCATAACCATTATTTATTATTATTTTATCATTTTGTTATTTATTATTTATTTATAATTACTTTTTTTTTTTACACTATTATGAATTTTTAGATAGAAATCAGGACCGAAAGAGTTAAACATAATTTACTAAAATTACCGTAAAATATTTTATAATCAATTTTTTTATTCAAACCAAACAACAAAAAATTTTTTTTTTTAATAATACAAATACAACAATTTTTTAATTTAATATTATTTAAGACACATATCTTATCCGTGGTTTTCTTCGTCAATATCTTCTTCGTCATCACTCCAGTCACTGTCATCTGGTAATATTGTCAGAATTATTGGTTCCATCATGATGTCCCTCATTATTTCTTTGCTGTTGTCCTCGTCCTGGATTTCTTCTGCATGACGAACGCATTTCGTCCAGTCGTCTATTGTTACTGCATCTAATGCCTCGTGTGTTAACCGCTCAATATCAACCATTTTAAAAGTATTGTTGAATTTCGCTACTTGGCCCTTAACTTGAGCCCAAATTAACTCAATTGGGTTATACTTACAGTGGTATGGTGGAAGACGGATTACCTCATGACCCATTTCAATTGCAATGTCATCCAGTTCATATTTTTTTTCGCGTGGCAATAGGTTTTTAACTTTTTGCCGAAGTTCAGGTAATGTTTCCAATGGATGGAACTCGACATTTTTTTCATTTAACCATTGTTGTACTTCGGCTTTTCTCCAATTACTTTTAGGATATTTGTCTCTGAGGATTGAATGGTAAGGCGCATTATCCATGACTATAACTGATGGCTCTTCTAGATTTTTTAGCAGTTGAATAAACCACTCTTTAAATACTTCACCATTCATCTGATTATGATAATCCGTGGTATTTCCGGTATTGCTTCGAAATACCAATTTTGACCCTTCTATAAACCCGTAGCGAGCACATCCTGCATGGCATACAATAAGTCGGCCTCCTTTACCCGTCGGCACCTTCAGACCACCTAAATTATTTTCATTTTGCCAAATAAGGCTGCGGGAATGATTTTGGTTTACCCACGTTTCATCGAGATAAACCACTGGCCGATCGTCTTTATTTTCTCGCAGCGTACACATTTGTCGTAAAAATTTACACCGAAGTGCGACGATATCATTTCTCTCCATTAAAAACATACGACCATCGTTACATCTTTTGTATGTAAATTTTAAATTTTGTAGGAGCCTTTGCATTGATCGAACGCACCCGGTGTAATTTGTTTTTTTTTTTACGACATTTAATATTAATTGAGCCGTTGGGTACTCACCCCGGTCGTAAAACTCGTGGACAGTTCTCCGCACAACATCGGAATCGAAATCATCCAGCTCTGAAACAGTTTTTGCACGTTTATAGTTTATACCCTTTACGTGGAGAAACAAACGTAGGATCCGCACCTGGTGTTTCTGGATTAATATTATTTTTTCCTTCTGCACAAATCCGTCGTACAGTACGATAACCAACATACACTACACTACACTACACTATACTAATATATAGAAATCTGTGATCTTAAATCGTGCTGGAAACGAGTAGCTTATCACAGCCATGAACGTATGTACAAGAAGCAAAGTGCGGGGGGTCACTAGGTGTTCTTGGAGTTCACAGCGCCCTCTGTATTTAAAAAAAATAAATCAAATAAAACCACTGTTAGCGCTGAAAACTTCAAGAACGAAATTCTTATCAGCTAAGTGACATCTTTCGTGGCCGTCCCCCGATCCCCGCCAACCATGTCATTTCCAGTCCATTATATCTTAGTCCGTGCCACGGACTAAGATAATAAAAGGCGCATTCACAGCTACCCCGTGTGTGGTCTCGTGCGAGGTCTTGGTTATTACATGGTTACATTATACTTACTGACTATGCTTAAAATTATACTAATTGTTATTGTATTACATAATATTAAAAAGCTTATTGAGTACCTAATGTATGATTTGTTTTGTTTTGGTATTTTACCTGTTACGTATGGTTGTTTTTTTTAAATTTTTTTTAAATGTAATCTACAATCTATACCACATGGCACAATAAGTAGATGTGAATGAGATTTAACATACACAAATAATTAAAAAAAAAAATACATCATATACCCTTAATAATATTTGTACATAATACGTGAAATTTTTGAGGAAAGCAGCCACCCATTAGTAAAGCTCCGTCAGCCTGGCACCCCGAAATTGAAATTTCGTACTTTTTTTTTTTTAGATAATTAGTAACCAATTTGTAACAATTTGTAACGCAAGATTTGGAATTTGTAACACAAAATTTCACCCTTAAATCGACGTTCCAGTGTTAGGGGTGCTGAGCTGACGTCAGCCCAGCGCCCGAAATTGAAATTTCACACTTTTTTTTGTTTAGAAAATTAGTAAACAATTTGTAACAATTTGTAACGCAAGATTTGGAATTTGTAACACAAAATTTCACCCTTAAATCGGCGTTCCAGTGTTAGGGGTGCTGAGCTGACGTCGTTAAAAGTCAAATTTCACACTTTCTTTTGTTTAGAAAATTAGTAAACAATTTGTAATAATTTGTAACGCAAGATTTGGAATTTGTAAAATAAATTGCATCCCTTGAATTGACGGTCCAGTGTTAAGGGTGTTGGGTTGACTTCGAAAGTTAAATTTCATACTTTTACACCGAAGATTTATTCCATGGTATTGTTTTGCTAAAAGTGGAATTTCCTACCTAAAAGTAAAATTATGTAATTATTTCTTAATTATTTTTTAATTTGTGTTGTATTTTACTATTTTTATAAAAATAGAGATAACCTATGTTACTTTTGATTTTTGAACAAGTTTTAAATGTTTAATAATTAAATAATATACTATTTATTGCAAGGTAAGTATTTTAATTTATTATTTGTAGTATTATTTATATAATACTAAACTATCATGATTATAGGAACCTACTGGGTATTTAATATTTATTATGTTTTATTGACA